CCATCTGATGAGGGGAAGAGTAAAGCCCTGAGAGACACTATATAGAGCGTCAGCTGCAAAGTTGGATCACCTTAACAAGAACTGAAGAATTTTCTCTGTTACACACACACACACACACACACACACACACACACACACACACACACACACACACCATGGCCCCCATAAAAAAGTACAGGCCTCTCTTCCCAGTCTTGGATGACCACCCAGAGCTGTAGTGATGCAGCCTGTGACTGCACTGTGTCTTGTTTGGGGTGAGGGTAGGTATGGGGGATGATGGATACCTAGGACCTGCAGAAACTGGTCTTGGTAAAATTAGGCTGAACTCTTTTAGCTTTGAGCCCTGACTGAGTCCCTAGTAGCCACAGCAAAGCTGGCCCTTTCTCTACTGCCTAGCTCTGGCATAGGCCATAAGAGCCAGCATTATCTTGTCAAGTCCTGGCCATCTGAAAGTAAGCAGAAGCATAGGATTCTACAGAACATTGCCAACAGGAAGGACCCTTTCCTCCCCTGACCTTTTGAGGGCAGTGCCATCTCTGGCTGCCTTTGGATAATGAATGGGTCAATCCATGCTCCTACTTCCTCTGTGTGTTCTTCTTGATCCCTAGCACCTACTGCCTTCATTCTCTTGAGTGTTTGCCCAGTCAGAAAACTTCTCTGCCAAGTGTCCTTACTAGACTCTCCCATCTCCCAAACCAGACCTATCAGTGGTTCCCCACATGCCCTTCCCCAGCAATGTAGCCCTGGTTGGCACACAAAGCTCCCATCTCTCCATCTAACAAGTCCCCACCCATCATACTTAAGACCAGAAGTGAGGGCAAAGGTCAGACAGTGGCATTCCACAAGAACAGCCAGACCCTGACCTTGAACTGCTTCCCAGCTACCTGGGGCAGATGTGGGAGGGACCCAAGCAGGTCAGAGGGCTCCTCTTGGAGTTACTCTTGTCCTATTTCTACCTGTGTCCCAATCACCAGACCACTGTTGGTACAGGTCCATAGTGTGAAGTAACTACATCAGTCAGCATCTGTCCCCTTGCACAGATGGTAACGAAGTTCAAGGAGCTCATAAATGGAGTGCACTGAGCCAGGGTCTGAATTACAGACTGACTGCCCTCTGCTCCAGAGCAGGAGCTCAGGAGTCGTCCAAGCGGACACTGCCTGACAGCTGGCTGACATGCTTCCAGAGTAATAGGCTGGGCACTCTCTCTGTCCCCAAGCACTTGTCCTGTTGGCCCTGAGAGGCAGCAGAACCCAACATGGAGTACGGGCTGAAGGACATGGCATTTCATCCTAGGTACAGGGTTTGGGGGACTGTAGCTCCTTTAGGGGAAAGGGCAAGGGTCGTTCAGGACCAGACTGGGTTGGTGGCTCAGGTCTTCATACTGGCAATGACACATCCCTTCAGGGGAGTCACTTTGTGGTTGGGTGGGGCCAAGCTGCCAATCCAGCAAAGCAGACAGAACAGAAGGAGCCTCAGGATGGACTGCTGGAACCCAACAAATCCAGTTGGCAGTATGGGGAGCCATGGCCCTACCCTGGGGTGCCCTCTGACCATACACCTCACCTGGCTGGAAGCAGCTGTAGGAGGTGGACTTGGGTCCACGTGGCTTCCTCATTCCTGGGGACAGGTCACTAACCTTGCTGACCTGAGTTTGTGCAGCCTTTGTAGAGAGGGTGTAAGGGCCTACTCAGTGGCTGTGTCTGAACAGAGATGAATGATGGGCCTGAAGTCCTAGGCATGGTACCTGATGGTGTCTCTCCTGTTAGAATGAGGATTCCGGCTTAGACTTCTGGTGTCTTCCAGCTATACCATCTCTGTAGAGCTTAGCTGGCCCCTTCATCTGGGAGAAACTCCTTTATTGATTAATTGGTAGATGGATGGAATCTAGGGCCTTATGCAGTCTGGTCCAGTTTTCTACCACTGAGCCGTGCTCTCAGCCCATGATGATAAATGTTATGTCTGTTTAGTCACCAAAAGGTGAGTTGAGGGATGCAACTTAGTGGTTGCTTTCTTGGTATTTCATGAAGCCCTGCCCCCCACCACCCAGTACTGGAGACAGACAGAGGAGGGGACATGTGGATGCTGCTACCGGAGGGCACAGTCTGGATGTGGCTGGACACTATTCCCATTGCAGCAACACATGGGGATATGAGTTTGTGGTGCCAACTATAGGTTGATTGGCTATTCCTTAGCTAAGATACAGGGAAGATAGCTCAGCTGGTTGAGTACTTGCCTAGCATATGTGACGCCACCATTGCATAAAGCCAGGAGTGATCTGCATTCCTGTAAGCCCAGGATTAGAGCTGTAGAGGCAAGAGGGACAAGAGTTCAAGACCATCTTTGGCTACTTATAGTAAGCCTAGGCTAGGTGAGACCCTATCATCAAAAAAAATACAAGAGTTCAAGACCATCTTTGGCTACTTATAGTAAGCCTAGGCTAGGTAAGACCCTATCATCAAAAAAAAAAATTTTTTTTAAAGAGTAAAAGAAAGCTTGGAAATAAAGTTTAGATTCTGGATGATTTGAGGTTTGGGAAGATTTATACATTTTTTTTTTTTTTTGGTATTTTTCGAGACAGGGTTTCTCTGAGGCTTTGGAGGCTGTCCTGGAACTAGCTCTTGTAGACCAGGCTGGTCTCGAACTCACAGAGATCCACCTGCCTCTGCCTCCCGAGTGCTGGGATTAAAGGCGTGTGCCACCAACACCCGGTCAGATTTATACATTTCTAATGAGGTAACTTGAAGTGTGTGTGTGTGTGTGTGTGTGTGTAAAATGTGCCCTGTACATACCCAGAGGTAACTTCCTAGAACATCTATGGTGTGCCTGCCTTTGACTGTGGTCCCTCACATGAGTACACATTGTGAGACTTTCCACTTGTGACACTGTCTAGAAAGTCTGGAACTTCAGAGCATTTCAGATGAGCCTTATGGATGCTCAACTTTCTTCTTGAATCTGGTTGCCAGAGGCTTTGGGTTCCATCCCCAGCATACACACCTTCTCCAGTAAATCATGTGTTCTTTTCAGTAAGTCAGTTTTGACACTGTTGCATGTCCTCTGCCTCATGGTGCCGGTGTTTCCAGATTCCCTGATTCAAATCTTGATTATCTCCACCCCTTAGAGGGAATTGCTAGGAACCTGGCTAGCCACCAACCTGCCCTCCAGATACATTTGGCTATAGCCCAGAGAGCAAGCAAATGCCTGTGTTCCAGCCCTGTTAGCCTTTCTAGTGTGCATCTGAGTAAAGGGCCAGGGGCTTTCCTGCTTCTTTCTGTGCCTTTGATGGCTGGTGGTGAGACTGGACAGTTCTCCTCCTGTGTTGACACATTTCCTTCTCTAAGTCTCCTTCCCTGTCTCTTTGGAGCCTCTCAGGGATTCCAGTAGCTGTGACTTAGAAATGAGGAAATGAGTGAGGCCTCAAGCACTGACCACTCTCTCATGAGGGTCTAAAAGCAGCCTATCTGCCCCTGCAGTAGACGGGGAGCTCTGGCCTGAAGATAAGATGGCCTGAGCTGGCTGAGGCTGGCAGAGCTGAGGAGGGGTTCCAGGTTTCCAGGCCTAGAAAAGCAAAGGCTGGTATCATCATCTGGATTAGCGCTTCGGCCTCCCCAAGACTCACTTTCCCCATTGGAAACAGAGTTGCTCTCCCCACTGCTGGGTTCTTGCAGGAGGGCTTGTATGAGGTCCGCAAAGTCAGAAGCTCTGGGGACACAGAGCAGCGGGAGTTTTCCAGGGCAGGGCCAGGTGGAGTCAGGGGTTACGGGGAGAAAGTTCTGTGGACAGACAGTGGCAGTAGCAATCCAACGCTGATGGCCTTTAACACACTGAGCTGTGTGCATAAAGGGGGTTAAAATGGAAATTTTTATGGCATGTGTCTTTTATCATACTTTTTAAAAAGTAGGCATGAAGAACTGGCTTTGAAGCTCTATAACACACTGTGAGAGCCTCTTCCCTCAGGACTGCTGGGGACCCAGTGATG